CTTAAAATAATGCATAGTAAGTCCTCAAAATGCTAACTAATGTCATCATTAAGTAAAGTTTTCCCTCATGTAATTGCTTAAATACAGTGATAATTTCCAAGTAGGAATTACTGGTGTTCAAGTAAAAACTTGTTTTTCTTGAAAATAATTACAAAAAAAACGACATGCTTTATTTCTTCTCGCATAATGGAAGCTAAATTTTTATCCTTTTGCTTTCAATATCACAAACTTGATCTAAATTTAATACTTTTTAATAATAATAATATGAATATGCTTTGCCTGAACTTTAATATTACTCTATTTATAGTTTAATTCCCATTGTAGAAAATTATCATATGTTGAATTACGTGTAAACTTTCCTATGAGTAGGAGAAATAAAGTATAAATGTAGGTATTGTCTATATACATACTTTCCAATAAATATCTTTTGCATTTGACATATTAGATATTTGCCTGAAAGCAATTGTTTGTTTTGTAGCCCTACAAAGGAAATACCTGATAGAAACAGCAAGGTATTGTAAAAAATATATTATTAAAAATATTACTCTGTAGTTGAAAAAATACGTCTATCAAAGGTAATGTGAAAAAATGGAAAATCTTGTCTGGGTATAAAAGACATGGGATTTGAAAAAAAATGATGTAGAACAGTGGCCTTTGATAAAAGTATCTTTTTGACAAAAAGTAATTATTTCAAGACCTAAACATAGTTTGATTTGGCTCATATCAAATGATAGATGTTTACTACCTTGTTAAACTTAGTGTATACTAGAAATATTTTGGGGACATAGTATTATTTATTTTTAGGTCCAAAAGCAAATGAATTCTAAGGATGACACTGATAACTCACCTCAGTCACCTCTAACAGTTTTTAAAGGATTGCATATCGCCTAACTCTAATCATAAGGACTCTACATTGCTAAATGAGCAACTTGGAATGGATTGTAAAGGTAAGATTGCATGAGATTGTATTTTTATGTCCACTATAGTAGTGTATATATACCAGCTTAGCACTGGACCATAGAGTAATGAAATGTATAGTGCTATTCATCTGAGCAATATGATTTATGTTAAAATAGAATGAGAACTATTGTACACTTTCAGCTAAAGAGCTATGATAATTTCCACTGGACTTTACTCAGTATGAATGGCACCCTCAATCTTTGTTGACTTTGCTTCCCTTCTTTGCCTGGAATACTGAAATAACCTCAGTCCTCTTTTCCACACGTCCCCAAATAACGGCTGACCACAACCATAACCCTTACATATCTCAAAAACATTCAGATCAGAACCCATAATAACCTTGAATAAAAACCCAGCAATCATGTTTGCTGTAACATTAAAGACCATACTCCTCTAGTCTGATCATTTCCAAGGAGCTTGGGCCATTGGCTGGATACAGGTAAGGGGAGAGAGAGCCCCCACCCAGGCAGGAAGCAGAAAGCTAAGGCTATCAGCTGGATACAGGTATGGGGAGAGAGAGCCCCCACCCAGGCAGGGGCGCAAAGCCAGGGCCAAAGTTTCAATACCGGTAAGAGGAGAGAGAACCCAACACAGGCAGGAAGTAGGAAGCCAGGGCCATCCTGTGAATACAGATAAGTGTCAGAGAGCCCACACTGAGGCATAAAGCAGGAAGCCAGAGCTGATGGCCAGAAACAGGTTAGGGGAGAGAGAAACCCAACCCAGACAATAAGTAAGAGCCAGGGCAGATGGCCAGAACAGGTAGGGGTAAGCCAAGAAGTGAGTGAGCAGTTTTGAACAGCTAAGGGAGATAAACTTGTCTGTCACTTTGTCATATTGTGGTGGCTTGCGTGTTGTTGTGAAGCTGGAGGATGTGCCATCTTGTTTCAAGTGCCAGCAGGGTTGCCCATAGTGGACAGGTTTCAGTGGAACTTCCTGACTGAGATATATTTGGAAGAAGGAAGTGGCCATCCATGTCTCAAACAATTGTTCAGGGAAAACCTTATAAACAGTAGTGAAATACTGTCTGATATATTACTGGACAACTTTATGAATAGGCCTGAAACATTGTCTGATACAGTGTCAGAAGATAAACTCCTGAGGTTGCAAGGCAGTCCAAATAGCACTGGTAAAGAGCTCCCTCATCAGAGAGCCGACCATAATGATATGGAAAAGGAGACCATTCGGAACCTCCATTTGCTGATGTGGCACGACTCAAAATGAGAAAAAACAGCTGCAGACATCCATTGGTTATCAGAACATGAGATGTATGAAGTATGAATCTATGAAAATTAGAAGTTGTCAAAAATGAAATGGAATACTTAAAGATCAATATCCTGGGCATTATTGAGCTGACCTGGACTGGTTTTGGCCATTTTGAATCAGACAACCATATGATCTACTGTGCTGGGAATGACAAATTGAAGAGGAATGGTGCGGCACTCATCATCACAAAGAATGTTTCAAGATATATCCTGAAGAATAATGCTGTCAGTGATACGATAATATCCACGTGCTTACAAGGAAGGCCATTTAATAGTACTATTATTCAAATTTACATACCAACCATCAAAGCCAAAGATGAGGAAATTGAAGATTTCTACCAACTTCTGCAGTCTGCAATTGAGCAAATATGCAATAAGGTGTACTGATTACCACTGGTGATTGGAATGCAAAAGTTGGAAACAAGGAAGAATCACCTGTAGTTGGAAAATTTGGCCTCAGAGATCGAAATAATGCTGGAGATAGCATGCCAGCATTTTGTAAGACCAACAACTTATTCACTGACAGTACCTTTTTTTTCAACAACCAAACAGTGGCTATACAAGTGGATTTCATCAGATGGAGAACACAGGAATCATATTGACCACATCTGTGGCAAGAGTCAATGGAAAATTTCAATATCTTCAGCCAAAACAAGGAGACAAGCTGATTGTGGAACAGACCATCAACTGCTCATATGGATGTTTAAGTTGAAGCTGGACACAATTAAAACAAGTCCACGAGAGCCAAAATATGACCTTGATTTTATATCGCTCCTGAATTAAGAGACTATCTAAAAAATGGTTTTGGTGCATTAAACACCAATAACTGAGCTCTGGTAGCATAGTGGCTAAGGCACTTGACTGCTAACCAGAAGGCTGGTGGTTCAAACCCACCAGCCACTCCTCGGAAGGAAGTTTGGGCAATCCTACTTCCGTAGTGATACTGCCTCGGAAACCCAAGGAGGGGTCCCTATGAGTCAGGGCTGACTCGACGGCACATAACAACAAAAACAACAACAACTGAAAACCAGAGGAATTGTGGGATGCCATCAAGAACATCATCCAAGAAGAAAGAAAAAGGTCATTTAAAAGACAGGAAAGGAAGAAAAGACCATAATGGACATCAGCAGACACTGTGAAACTTGCTCTTGAATGTAAAGTAGCTAAAGCAAATGGAAGAAATGACAAGGTAAAGGAGCTAAACAGAAGATTTCAAAGAACAGCTGAAGAAGACAAAGTCAACTATAATGAAATGTACAAAGACCTGGAGTTAGAAAAGCAAAAGGGAAGAACATGCATGGCATTTCTCAAGGTGAAGAGCTGAGGAAAAAATTTAAGCCACAATTGAAATATTGAAAGATTCTATGGGCAAAATATTGAATGATGCAGGAAAAATCAAAAGAAGATGGAAGGAATACAGAGTCACTGAACCAAAAAGACCTGGTTGATCTTCATCCATTTCTGGAGGTGGCATAAGATCAAGAACCAATGGTATTGAAGGAAGAAGTCAAAGCCACACTGAAGGAATTGGTGAAAAACAAGGCTCCAGGAATCGATGGAGATGTTTCAACAAATGGATGCCACCCTAGAGTCACTCATTCAGCTATGCCAAGAGATTTGGAAGGCAGCTACCTGGCCAACTGACTGGAAGAGATCCATTCCAAAGAAAGGTGATCCTAGAGAAAGTGGAAATTGTCGAACAATATCATTAATATCACATGGAAATAAAATCTTACTGAAGATAATTCAAAAAGAATTTCAGCAGTATATTGACAGAGAATTTCCAGAAATGCAAGCTGGATTCAGAAGAAGATGTGGAATGAGGGATATCATTGCTGATGTCACATGGATCTTGGCTGAAAGCAAAGAATACCAGAAAAATGTTTACTTGTGTTTTATTGACTATGCAAAAGCATTTGATTTCGTGTATCATATACCATAACATTGAGAAGAATGGGAATCTCAGAACACTTAACTGTACTCATGAGGAACTTGTACATAGACCAGAAGGCTATTGTTCCAACAGAACAAGGGGACACTGAATGGTTTAAAATCAAGAAGGGAGTGTGTCAGGGTTGTATCCTTTCACCATACTTATTCATTTTGTATGCGGAACAAATAAGGTGAGAAGCTAGACTATCTGAAGAAAAATGTGGCATCTCAATTGGAGGAAGAATCATTCACAACCTGCGATAGACACGCGACACAATTTTGCTTGCTGAAAGTTAGGATGACTTGAAGCACATACTGATGAAGATTGAAGACTACAGTTTTCAGTATGGATCACACCTCAGTATAAAGAAAACAGAAATCCTCACAACAAGACCAATGAGCAGTATCACGATAAATGGAGAAAAGACTGAAGTTGTCAAAGCCTTCATATTACTTGGTTTACAGTCCACACCAATGGAAGCAGCAGTCAAGACATGAGGCGACATATAGCATTGGACAAATCTGCTGCAAAAGACCTTTTTCAAGTTCTGAAGTGCAAAAACATCTCCGTGGAGACGATGGTGCACCTGACACAAGCCATGATATTTTCAGTTGCCTCATATGCATGTAAGAGCTGGACAATGGATAAGGAAGACCAAAAAGAGTTGTTGCTTTTGAGTTGTGGTGTTGGCAAAGAAGCCTCAAAGTATTCTGGACTGCTAAAAGAACTAACAAACCTGTCCTGGAAGTAGGGCAGCTGTAATGTTCCTTGGAAGCAAGAATGGCCAGACTTCGTTTCATCTACTTTGGTCATGTTGTAAGAAGGGACCGTTCCCTGGAGAAGGATATCATTCTTGGTAAAATGGAGGGTCAACAAAAAGGGGAAAGCCCTCAACAAGATGGGTTGACACAGTGGCTGCAATAATGGCCTCAGGTACAGCAAGGATTGTGGAGCTGGCACAGTACTGGGCAGTGTTTTGTTCTGCTGTACGTATGGCTGCTCTGAGTCAGGGATGACTCAAGGGCATCTAACAACAACAACATCCTTTTTCTCTCTGTGTCTTAGGGGCTTCCTTAGATGTTTGGTATTCTTGCAATAGAGATTTTTTTTTTTGTCCCCAGCAGCTTCAGTGATGTATACCTGACATGACAAACTGCATGTTTCTGACAAGACATTTTGTTTCATCCTTGCCTTTTTGCTTAAGT